ACCTCCATTTCGCGAATTTTTGTATTTTATTTGAACTACAAAAATAAATTAATCGCCCCGACTGCGCCAGTCTACGTGACGACCATCGCTCTTTGAAGGCGTTCGCGCAGTGACGAGAGCAGAATCGTGGCGGTGTGGCAAATCCAGGATGCCAAGTGAGTCTTTGCTAAATCATAGACCTTAGAAATACTTTTATTTCCAAGGTCTATGACGAAAGTGACAAGGTTGTGTCTAAACTCAGACAACTAATTATCCTTCTTGTATATCTGATAACAAGTGGTAAAGCTTATTTACATTAACTAGAGTTTATTTATATACTATTCATTTTATCCCAATGAAATCTTGACACATTATAAAATATGATATTCCTAAATGACTAGTTGATTAATTATTAATTTCTCCTAACCAGTGAAATATGCAGGTATTCTGTATCTGGCGTCCGAGATGTTGACTGTGCCACTGGTTGATGACATAATTTACTAAGGGACTGCATATATAAAACAAAATGAATAAATTACATGAATTTTTCTCTTGGATTTGAGGGCCTCGACACACCGTTGTATCATGGAAATACACTTTACACTGTTTTACGGCCTTCGCTGTGTCTGTACCATATTGTTTTTTTTTAATTAAAATGCAATGCAATGCGATTACGTGCTAATTAATAATCTTTCGAGGTGTTCAATGATGCATCTTTGTCCATGCGCTTTTGCTGGGGTATTGGTTGCGTGGAAAAGTAGGAACTCGCAGATGGCAACTTTATAGTAGTGCCTGAAACGTGTACACAACAGAAATTGAGCCATTCTCGTCCCGGATCCTCATATAATTTTACGACGACAGTGGCACTAATTAGAGGATTGTACAGCTCTGTTTTTAGCTGCTAACATATACACGGGTCTATTGTCACCACCGTACTAGTTTGAACTTGCATACTCATTGATTGACGCTGTGACCGACGCGACAGGTGGTAATATCCAGGCAACTCTACTTTTCTATACCCGTGTTATATTTTATGAGGGATTTAGCTAGTGCACGTACTCGAGTACCGTGTCCTATATTCACGGTATACATCGACTACGTGACTAATTTACACTTACAACTCAGTCCTTGTTTCAGTGTCATGCATGCTCATTTTAAAGTTTTCTGTATCGGCGATGTATGTAAATATACCCCAGGCCACTGTACAGTTGACCTCGTTATCTGCATACATTGAATATGCTCATTAGAAGGTCTATGATTGAATGAACTCGCTGCCGAAATGTCAAATATGCCCATAAATCCAATGAAATCCATGATCGATCACAAAACAGAAGACGCAAACACAGTAAATTTTCGGGGAAATAGTTGCAAAACTACACTAGTCATGATAATAGTGAGATAATATGGTGAAAAGAGCTTGACAACTTAGTTGATATTCGCGGTTGAACTAAGTGAAAAATTCACGGTGTGAGGGTAAATGACCTAAAAACAGTAGTTACGTCCGGTATGGGGAGTAGCCGCCGGTTTGACCATTGATCTAACCGTCAATTGCGACCGTAGAAATACAGGTGTGACTGGCCATGCAATTTGAGCAGAGGCTCGTAGTCAATGTCTCATAGCAGGCTTGGCATATTATTTGAGAATGACCGTCGCAACCTTCATGGTCACTCGTCTGAATCATGTGTTTTCGTCCGGCCATGGAGAACGTCCCAATTCCTGGCGGCACAGACTATTATTACCTGATGCCGAGTTATCCGACAATAGGCGGATACCAACAGCAAGGTGAACGATGCATAATAAAGATAAACCCGATAACAATTACGTGTTTTTTATGGGGGGGGGGGGTTACCGAGAGTCATTGGGTATAAAATATATAGTAGTACTTCCAATGATAAGGGTATAAACAACACACTGCACAGTAGATATGTCTATTCAGTGCGAACAAATGTTACTTCTAATAGAATATAACTAATTGCTTTTAATTAGCACTAGGAATAGTAACTGTACATGGTTTTTTACATAAAACTGTGAGCTACAGGCCATATCGATCAGGTTAAAATTTGATGTATTGTACGGCGTGTATTTTTTAAATTTTTTAAATCTTATTTTATTTGCACTATGTTTTTTTTTTTAGTATTTTGTAATTATCGTCACATACCTTGTTGGCTTTTGAGATAACCACGAACTTACAGCAAATAAATAGTACATTCAAATGAGATAAAATAAAGTATAGGAAAAATAAATTATTAAATTCAAAAAATACAAGCCCAAACTATTATTTTACGCACAATTATTACAATTTCCTGTGTTCGATTATACAATTGCCGGCATACAATGTGTTTCTTCCTCTCATAGGTCAAAGATCAATGTTAAAGATGAGTCGTCTCTTCTTGTCTAACTTATGATCCATTACGTCAACTAATGTGTGACTACATCCGGGTCTAAACCAACCGGTTCGGGTCAATGACGGCACGGTTTTCTATTTATAAACAATAGTCGCAACCGACGGTGACGGCTGTGCATGGTGGTCTCGTGACACTCCCAGAAAAGTGAATACGCACTATTTCAATAACGAGCTGTCATAACACACATCGTAGTTCGACGCAATTGTCTGTAGTTAAAACTATCGACCTTTATTTTGTGCTGGTTTTACGAGCAAGCAAGTTCGTAGGATATTGTAAATCCCCTTGTATATAATATACCATATACGATTCTAGTCGAAATTTCGACGTAAGTTTTTTTTTCATTGTACTTTTCTTGTATCCAATAACCAGGCCTTTCACGAGTTATTGAATCAAAGTGTAAAATCAACGTGTTTCGTGTTATCGCTGTTTCTCTCTTGCACAAGTAATCGCCCGCGCTCACTATGCTTGCGGTAAGGTCGAATGGATTTAGTTTGCGCATGCGTGCTCCACTTACAGTGACTAATACCTGTGTAAATGATGTCGGGGATTGCACCATATCTATTATTGGCTGTACGGTTAGTTTCGTAACTATTTTCACATTTAGCTCGAAGAACTACCCATCCATACATGCTCACACGACTCTTGTTTTAATATAACGCCATCTACAGGGGAAAAAAAACACCGTGTACATGTATGTGTATTATGACTGTATGTAATACACATGGCCTCCTATTGTTATCGCAGCTTAGTATGTAAGGTATACAAATGTATATTCATTCGTATGTATGCATGTATTTATTCATTCTGCATAAACTCTTGTTTCTTTTTTGTTTATGAAGTCTTGGTTGATAATATGAACTCAACGTTTTTACTAATGGTTCATAATATGACTTCGTATTTGACATGTATGACTGAATTGTAAAAAAAGCTCATTTCTAATGTTCATCTACTAGTATATTGACGCTGCCCGCACAGTATCCCCCTTGAGCCTCATGGAGATAAATGAGTAACTCTCAGTTCGAATTGCCTAGCAGGCTCAGTAGCAGCCAGATTTGCGCGCAGAATTCTCGTTTGAATATTACGGCTGTGGTCCCGTTGCGTTTCACGTACCCGCATTATTTTGGATGTTTGTAAATTATTACAGTTATCAGATCTGATTAGCTCGCTGACTCGGTGTTAATTCACGCCGATAATTACCGACAGAATAATGAGCTTGTTCCCGCCCGAGTCCAAGTGTTTAATTCTCACGTGGCATTCTCGTGCATACCGTTTTATATCACCGAGAACGCTAGTTTTTAATGATCACGTCATGTCGATGGTTTTTAAGTTGTTTTTTAAAGTCATTCTATTCTTGTAATTCATATACTCAAGCGCGGTGGTCGTCGCGCAGCGCGTGTTTAAATTTCATGTAAATAAACAACGTATTTTACACGCGTTGTATACGTCGCCATGAGTCCCATATCGAACAGGACCCAGCACGACGACTGCCGCCTTTTAAACGCGGTGACTATACGCCCTACCCTGAGCGCTCCTGGTTACGACATATTAATAAGTTCATTTAATAATGAAACTTTGTTCTCGTTTTAGTAATGGGATTTTAGTCTACAGAGCTCAGTACTTCTAATGCCAGCAGCATTTCTAGGGTGGTTAAGTCTGTGCACCCTGTAATAAGTACGGGACCAGACTGGCGTATGTGTGTTAAAGGTCGCCTCTGTTCACTTCTATAGCATAATGAACAAAGGCAATCTGGCAGCGTCTTTTGTAGGCAGTACGTTCACGCGAATCGCCAACTTCTATGTTTATTTATAGTTTTTTTTTTTGAATGACCTTTCACATACATATATAGGTACGCACGGTCAAAACGAAGCTGGTACAATGCAGCGCCCTCCCCAGACACACCTTTATTCTATATTTTTCGTAGACGATGACTCACGATGACCGGCATTCGGTATATTTTCCTGGGAGACTCGCCTCATAATAATTATGACAGACAGGAAATTCAGTTTGTTTTGAGAAATTAAACACGTTGTATGACCCGTGCGTTTGTGTTCAATTCACAGGTATTTGACGGCGACCACACCAGGACACGCACGCTAGCATTGCGACGACCAACCTGACACTCGACGCGAAAGAGAGTGTCCCCCGCTCGAAGTCATCTCTAATACAAATAACAATACCAATATTTACAATATGACGATTGATTCCTATTACGACACGAACTATGGAACCTTGAATGAAACTTTGAACGGCAATTACACTTTTACGCTCAATGATAGTATCCCGGAGATCGGAGAACCAATGTGCCCCAAGGGACTACCTCCCGCTGCTATTTACATGAAAGGTGGGTAATGACATCATTCACCATTCCCTATTGGAGAATTTCTACATTTACTTGTTCAAGTTTGAGTTAAATTACATTATATACTACACTATCACCTATGCATGATTGATTTTACGAGGTAAATGTGAATGAGACACTTCACCCCTCACACTGGACTTCCTATACAACTATATATGTATGGGCAAATCACAATTTAGATTAAGCGACACAAACGGTGAACCGTCACCGAAGCTAAATGTACCATGTTTTATTTAAAATAATTTCTCGTTCAAACACGATTATTTTCAATACCTATATTTCCACTTCGATGGTGACTTATTACTGTAAATGGGGTAATTATTCACTGGGTCTTAATTTTGCTTATTTCGCTGACTGGGAAATGCGTTTAAACCCACTGAATATGCCTGAAACGCTAAATCAGTGAATTTTAAACCCAGTGAAAATTAGTAATTTTACAGTATACGATTCGTTCATGTTTAAACCAGGCGTGTGCTGAGGGAGAAACCCTGTGAGTTGGCACTCCTACACATGCAAGTTAATATGTGTTTGTATTATTTGTGTGACATATTTACTCCACGTAGTTGAACAATCACCGAAGCTAAATATTTCCAATAATATATAGTACTTCGACTTTAAGGGTGAATTATTATGCGTTTTTTTATGTTTAACACAGACTTATACGCGCATTGAGGAAGCCTATCACATTTGTTTGCATGACATATTTCACGTTGTTAAACTACTAGTATTAACGAAGCTTAATTGTATCATGTTTTATTTAAAATAATTAGTTCTCGCCCCAAAACGCAATTTTTCAACATGTTTATTTTCCTATTCCCACTTTAACAATGCATTATACTAGTAGTAACGGTTCGTTTATTGGCTTGTACGTGCTCACAGGCACCGTGTCATTTGGCACTCCTACACGAAGTTAATATTTGTTTGTATTATTTGTATGATATATTTCACTCCATGTCAGTTAAATATTTATTACTTTTATACACCCGATTCGTTTATTATATTTGCACATCCTATTTCTATATTGAGATTTATTAGTCGCTAGTTAAACGTGTATTGCCATTTACGCCAAAACCAGTGTCAACCTAACCAGTTTTATTTGAAAATTGATTATGAATACTCGGGTGTATGAGTTATGACAGGAATGACACGCACAGTGCTTAATACCTTATACCCTCCTGACACATACACGCAATTTTTATTGCAATTTTAGTTCCATGTTTTAATTGTAGCTCAATGCATTTTTTTTCAGTTCTAACCGGGAAACACATCGCGATGTTATCGCTAGCAGCAGTCTTCACCCTAATCAATCTAATCGTGTTCATCGACGCATTTATCTTTCTCAATGCCCAGGTTCCACTTAAACGAAGAAAGGCTAGGATACTTTGGATATTAGGCATTTATCCAGTGAGTCAATACACCTTGTACATCGCGCCCTCTAACGGCGAAGCGCCTACATGACGTAACGGTCAATATCCACAGCGTCCATATTATTTCGAATAATGGTCGTCCGTCAATAGAAAACACTGTCTTTTGTTTTAGATATTTGCTATATACTAGAAAACTAACAACTAATTGCACAGTTTGAGCGCTATTGCTTACATAATCAAGGTCTTGGCAGAAGCAATTCGCTGCTAGTAGACGCACGTTAATGTTAATTTCACCGGGAGTCATTTTTGTAAAAGTGATTTCATGTTAACTCGTCTAGCCATATGTGCTAAGTGGTAGAAATATGGAGGTATTAAGAAAAATATATATTATTAAACTATTGAAAAGATTAATTATTAACGTTCCTATGATTGATTGTTTGCAGGTGTTTTCAGTGTCGTCATTAATAGCTCTATGCATTCCACGATCATCGGTTCTTACAGGGTTAACCTCGTCTATGTGAGTCCTTCAATATTCTGTCAAAAATTAAATAACCACCTCCTGATCTGTATATTATATGTTGTCAGCATGGGTAAAAATAGTACATTGAAAATGCGTGATAGTGATTAACGCGAGATTGTTTCACGTAGGCAACAATCAGAATTTTCATACTTTCGAAATTTTGTGATTATCAGTATTATTTGAAGTTTTATTTTCATACCCACAGGTATTTGTCAGTTGCGTTGTATCAATTTATGTTGCTTGTGTTTGACTACTTCGGTGGACTTACTGCAATGGTCGCCATGTTAAAGGGACAGAAGATGTTCCTGGGAACACCACCTGTTTTAATACTATGCTGTTGCTGTATGCCTAGCTTAAATATTACGCGGTAAGTATTGAGACAGTTTGAGTACGTTGTCAGAGAGTCTGGTGGAGCTTAGGAAAATATTACGAAAATCTTAAAGTGTTTGAGAAAGTATCCAATGCGTCTTGTATTATTTGAGAAAGTGTACAGAAAGTCTGACATGGGTAGAGAAAGTATTCTGAAAGTCTTGTAGTTTTTAAACAAGTATTCAGAGAGTCTGATGGGGTTAAAGAAAGTACTTATTGTGACTGTTTAGGGCAACATTTTGACCTCTTGTCATTGCAAAATAAATGTCGTAAATGTCGATTGTATTTGCCAGTTCCTTTCACATGTTTGCATATTTTGTACAGAATTAATAATTATGTAACATACTTACCAAAGACTCCAGTAACCGACACCAACAATACGTTTTCCATTTCGTTGCACTGTAATGAATACTATAAATTAGTCATCATTGATTTTTTCTTCTTACGGATTACGTAATTCAGAAACTAATTGTTTATTACCACCATATTATAGCCACACTGCTTTTCCACATGTTTACTATCGAATAAGAAATACAGTAAACACGATGGAAATTGTTTTTACACACAATTGGATTGCGGTTCTATTTTTATCCAATTATTTTTGCTACCATGAAGACTAATCAGTAATTTAGATCAATTAAACTTAAAATACGTTTTTAATAATACCAGCAATTGTTTTCTGCAGACCCAGTTTGAGGTGGTTGAGGAGACTGGTGTTACAGGTTGCTGTCGTCAGACCAATAATATTATTTATTTGCGCTGTTATGTGGGCTGACGGAAGTGCTCTCTATATCCCAGGAAAGGTAAGGGAGATTTATGATTTTACAGGCACCTGTTTATTGTTTAGTGTGAGATGTACGCGTGAATGTTTGATGTGGTGATGGGGAACCCCCGCAAACAATCACTGACACAGTAAATTGGGAATGTCACTAAGCGAATCACAATGAAATAATCCCTCGCTTCGACGAATATCGACAATAGTTATACAGATCGCACAGTATATACAATTCGTGGTACAAACAGACAAATATAATCTATTCCGATCACGTAATGTGAATGTGTATAATAACGCACGTGTTCTTCTCTCACAGTTTACTCCAGACGGCGCTTTTCTATATTTACAAACAGTGAGCGTGTTGTCCACGCTGACTGCGTTCCAAGCGATCGTCATCCTTTTCAAAGTGTCGAAGGAGCCTTTGATGAATTATAAAATCGTGCCTAAATTCTTCAGTATACAGCTGGCAATGATCTTTAGTAACATACAGGGTGTCCTGATTGGGTTCTTAATTGCTGGAGGGAAAATACCTTGCACCCCAACGTGGTCGTCAGGAATGGAAGGCATGTGTAAGTAAACACAGTAAGGGCTTGTTATCGATGTGGTTTGGCCTGGCATCGCTAAGATGTAGTGACCTGAACTGCGGTGATAACATTCAACTAATCGCAGACATTTTAACTCCGACAGTTAAGCGTTGGGGTCGCTGGTAACGAGGCATACGAATGTTCTCGCCAGTTAGTCTCTTAGTTTGACAAGTGAAAAGTGCAAAACGTGAAGTTGACCTCAGCATTTCATTCTTTTATTGTAGTCATCGACAACGCACACAAACTAATAGTTTCAAGATTCATTTTTTATATTTATTTTGTTTTACTTACAGTTATACACAACTTCGCTCTGATAATCGAAATGTTCACCTTCTCCTTACTGGCTCGATTCTCATATCGTAAGAGGGCTGGTAACCTTGACTACGTTGCTCCACCAAGACCGTCATTCATGAGGCCGCGGTCGTCGATAAGTTTCAAGTGGCAAGAACGAAACGGGGACACGGAAAACTATCTGAAAGCGAAGGGCGAATTTAAAGAGATTGAGGACATGTGTAACGGGAACACGATCGTAGCAACGGTACCCAAACAGAACGGGTACGCTGACATCATAAAGACTGATCTTGATCAGCCCATCAGCAATGTGTGACGCTGAAGACGCCCACGTTGCCTAGCAACTGTCTCCTTCATAGGGCCGTCTACTTAAATTTGGATTTAAACTGGTGCACCATCTACTTATTAAATTTGGGTTTAAACACAGCACATCAAAGTCACATTAATGAGATAAAGCAATGTTTACTTACACTGTATATGTAAATATGAACTAGCCAACTTCATAAGACACAATTACGCTTGCTTTTTATACTTATTTGAATATTAACATATCAATTATCATGTAACCCTTCCTCCTTAACATTATAGTCGATTTTTGTTATTAGTTTTACTCACCTATTAACTATCTACTGAATCTGGTGATGGTCTAAGAAATGCTAACCTGATAACTAACCAGATTTCTTTTTGTTCAGTTTTCTATGAATAGTATAGTTTGACCAAATTCACCATGCCGCTACATTTTGATTTATCGAAGCTCACAGTCCCTATATAGGGATTGTGTATTATTTTTATATTGTAATATATTGGTTTTACCTTATTTTTTATGTTATTTGCATTTATGTGTCTGGTTATACAACGTTAAACATTGTAGGACAATTATTTTTCATTTAATGAGGCTGAAGTGGTTACTTAGAGGGAGTATATTATCTGAAAACTAATATCATTTCATTGATGAAATGTAATTCCATTTACATCACAGCAATATATTGTAATTACTGTGAACTAAGTTGTAAATCTACTGATTGTTTTTATTTGTGATTTATTTTGTAATAATAAATTCTTTTTCAAGAAATGCATTTGTATGTGTCCACCAACTGAACGCAGAATGTAAAAAATACAGAAAAAAATCGGGGTTGCCTCCAAATTTAAAATATATATTATATTGTTTATAATTTGATGAAGATTTTAAAATCATGTACATGACTTTGTAGTCAGATTCATTAGTATCGTTCCTGCATACAGCAAGTCTTTACTATGACTTTGTGGTCAGATTCATTAGTATCATTCCTGCATACAGCAAGTCTTTACTATGACTTTGTAGTCAGATTCATTAGTATCGTTCCTGCATACAGCAAGTCTTTACTATGACTTTGTAGTCAGATTCATTAGTATCGTTCCTGCATACAGCAAGTCTTTACTATGACTTTGTAGTCAGATTCATTAGTATCGTTCCTGCATACAGCAAGTCTTTACTATGACTTTGTAGTCAGATCCATTAGTATCGTTCCTGCATACAGCAAGTCTTTACTATGACTTTGTAGTCAGATTCATTAGTATCGTTCCTGCATATAGCAAGTCTTTACTATGACTGTAATTTTCATGTGAGAATGGTGTTTGCCACGATTACAAAATATTACCGAACAACGTACACCGACGATAACTACAGAAATAACTCGTAACAGCCATTACCTCGCTATGATGTTTTTGTGATTTGTTGAGTTATATTTTGTTACTCCAAATGGCATTCATATTAAAATATCATACAACAACGGAATCGATGGAAAATACTTTTGAAGGGTTCCAAAACATTGAGAACACCCTGTACTAGAATAACTTTAGCAATATAGAAACTAGCTATAATAAACAAGTATAGCACAACTTTCAAAATACACAAAATAAAAAATGAACATATCGAGATTTGATAAAAGCAAGTTACTTAATCATTCTCGTTATGGAGAGACAAAAAAGACAGCAAACAAAGAACTTAGAATTGTTTACACATGAATTTGATTTTTAAAATTATCTAAAAGACAATAAATAATGTTTCGTCTAATCTCGAATTGGAAGTTGAATTAGGGAGAACATAATATCCAATTGATTTTCAGTAAAATTGTAAATAGCATGCAGCATACGGCTTATTTTCTCAAAAGTACAAGTTACATATCGCCAATAAATAGAACAGGTATGCTCGGCTGTATGCTATTGTGGCAGAAAGCCATGGTTAAATTCACCAGGGATGGGATGGTATTTGTTTCTCATTTTACTTTTGTTTTGTTTTGCCTTTGTGTTTAAACTAAATATTGTAAGGGAATGGGATAGTGAGGCGTCACCTCAGCTGGCAGTGTGGAAGAATAACCTGGACTTTCTGTATGAAGTAATGTCGAACCTGGTGAATCTCTACAGTGAAAGAGTTATCTTCTAAGCGAGTCGAAGTTCCCGACACACTACGCTAGTTCGTAGCACTATATCCTCTGATGTGACATTTTTTTTACTGAACTCTCATAATTTTGAGTAAGAAAGTTGTTCATAACTTACATGACAATGTTCACTGGTTTATTTATTATGTAGTATCACACCAGGCCCAGGGTGACCGGCTTTCGTCAACCAAAACAAAACGTGTCATTCTAAAAATTACGGTAAAATTGTCCCATGGCACCTTGAAACAGCAATCTTTTGTGTGTTACAGGGACTAATTTTAAGAAATTAATATTTTAATATTTATAAAAGTTCCATAGTCTAGAGCACATTGTTAAGGAAAAAAATTTTTGCCACTTTTTAAAACCCAGATTTTTTAAATAATTGAGAACAAAAAGTACCCCATCATTCACAATATATAATTTGTTAAGCATATTCCACCAGCCTACTATTTAAGATATGAAATATTATCACTGCCATAGGAACCTATATAGACTGTCCCAGTTGTGACAATTGCATTGTTTTATATGATAATTCCTTTAGAACGTGTTTCAGTTGTAGAATCTTCCGCGACTGGTCTATTCTGCCGCGCCCTCTATAGTTGTCATCACGTTTTTGTGGTGATCAACATGCTAATGTAGCATTACTTGTCATGAATACGTAATATTAATGGATATGTTGCAGAATCGACCAGTCGTGCTAATTTCGCGTCGGACCGCAATTTAAGAAAAATAAATATAAAATTGTCATGGCTGGGCCAGTCTAGAACCTATGGTAAAAGCACATAAAACTGTAATATAAAATATAATACTAATAGTCGTATTGTGCTGAAAACATAATATTTAAGCAACGTTATTGTTGCTCACTTACAACAAATTTAAAAAAAATATAAGTAAAATTGGATAATTTTTCTGGAAATAAACGCAACTCATTGAACAACTTCCGGTGGTAGAGGGCGCACTTACTTCTGAGGTTGAAAAGTTGCCCTCAGCAGCACCCTCTGTGGTTCTACCGAAGTCATCTTGTGTCACGGTTAGGTCAACGAACTCATACAAACAACTAGTTTGAGGTCACGTTCGGCCATTTCTTTTCTGGCAGACTTCGTGTTGTGCAGGAAATCATGGAGTTAACAAGAAGTGTATATGCATGGATGGTCTCCAATCCCAGTCTAGTTGTTGCTGTCCTGTTAGCTGTTCTATTCATAACTGTTTTAGCAAAGTTTATGAGTGGGCCTCCTGTCGGGAAGAACCCTTTTGCCAAAGCGACAACTAGTCCACCACAACCACTCGTCACTGACCAAGCTAAAAGGAACAACGTCCTCAAGCAAGGTATTTAGGAACGAATTCAAATTGTTCACTTCTGTGCGGCAAACGAGGTGGCTCGATAACAACATGGCGTTTTGTAATTTATTGTACATTTGGAAAATCCATTTTTATTTTAGAATTCTTTTTTAAAACCCACTTTCGTTTCTGAGATCTGTTTTCATTTTTAAAACCGGTAAGATTTAATACTATAGCACCCCCTCACTCATAACTTTAATCCTAAGCCTGCCCCTCCATAGCTGCAGTTCTATAGCTCACGTTTCCCGGTCTTCGGGTCATGTGTTCCCCCAGTTTCCATTCCAGTTCTTCTCCTATCTCAATTCTATATACTGGTACCCTTCTTCGGGTGACTTACAGTTATTTGGAGGGGCATATTGAATTACATTGGGGGCTGGATTGTTGGTGGTCGGATTAGGGGGCCTTCCAAAACTTTAAAGCAATTGTTTAAATCCATGCTATTATTGCTATCACATCAACGAAATAGAATTGTTGATTGAGGGGTGACAGGGAATGTACTGTTTGAGAAGATTGTTGTAAAGTTGGCATTCAAAGAGAAAGTGAAACTTGTTTTCTATTTTAGAAATATTACGTGGACAAATTCTTAGATGTCTAGGTATATTGTTAAATCTGATGTACACGATATTAATTAAGTTCTTGACTAGAAATGCGGAAATAAGGGCTTGTTTAAAAATTTGCTTTGTTATAATTTTGAAAAGCAACTTTATTTGAAGTGTAGTCTTGTAATGTATGTGCTCTAATTTCAATTGAATCAGGCATGACAAATATACCTGTTAGTGTTTGGGTTATTAACCATTATCAGTTGTGTGTCATACTCACAGTCAGCTGATATCGGTGTCGCTGGGTGTATATGATAGAGGGAAGTTGTGCAACCAAATTTGCCGAGTTCGCTGTTTTTCGTCGATAAAAAAATAACTAAGGCAAAAACTCACGATTTTTCAGCATTATTGTAATAAAAACATTATTCTCTATCAATAATCCACCCAAAACAGTAACATTTTTGCTAATTCTTGTGTTTTTTCGACGTTTTTCAAAAAACATGCGATTAGACAGTGAAAGTAGAACATTCCGGAGGGGTGAAACAGAAGAGCCAGGCAATGGAAGCGGGGCTCTTTGGCAACGGCCACAAGCGTGTTGTGTTCAGCCATGTTGGCCACATAGAGGTCAAAATATGCACTCTATTTGTAAGTGTTGTATTTGGCTCTTCCGTTGCTATCACATCAACGGAATACAAATAGAAAAACTCTGGGTGACATTAGTCACGGGAGGTTAGGGTGAATCTGTAGTTTGATTACAGACATTGAGTAAGGTTTCTTTGACAAAATGCAAATGTACCAAAAAATGGACAAAAACGATAAGGTGTGACACTTGAAAGCTATTGTGAAAACTATTGGCACTAAATTTTAATTTAATTATTTCAACCCTCGTGTAATAAATACAAATAATAAATTTGAATATGACTGGCATGCTGCTTTCTAGATTCAGCTTGGCAAACATTTTGCATCATTTGGTATTTTACTGAAACAACAATAAGTGTACAGCTAGGTATAATATTGTACCAATAAAGATCTGTCTTTAAAAAAGTGGCACGTATTCATCACCATCCAGTGACTTTAGGGACAACGTCAAAAGATCGATGTCGGATAAAAAACTTATTTGCTTTAGTTTGGGGGTGGGGGGGTTTTGACCTCAAAAAGTTTCCATCCTACAAAAACAATTTTATTTTTTAATGAAGTAAAAAAACCTTGGAGTATTTGTAGTTCGTTTTTTCTATTCAATCATAGACAAAAATAACAGAAAATAAAAAACAAAACATCCAAGACGGGAAAATGGTTTGGTCCAAGTGTAAATATGTGCGTCAAATGAGATCAATTTCAGGGCATGGACTTAGAGCATGCGCAGAACCCAGAAAAGTAGTTTGCGCATACGTATATTCCGCTTCATTATTACAACCAACTGCTATGCCCTACTGCTGTCCGATTATCAATTTGTATTTAATGGTGAATGTAGTCTGACGCCATGATCAATATTTATCAATTAAGTTTCAGTGGGGGGTGGGGGTTTTGGGAAAAAACTAAAAGAATTAAGTTTTTTATCCGACATCGATCTTTTGACGTCGTCCCTTAGAGTAACCAATGTCAAACCTGTTTACAATAATAATTGGCCAGTTTGTCTCTAATATTCTTTGAGTCAGTGTGTGTTATGTCTAGACATTACGTTGTAATGGCACATTTAATGGAAAATACAGTGTCACTATCCAATTGGCAAACTGCACTGATTTTCACTGTGTTGTTGTTAGTCCCCGTTCGGACGCAGTCCGAAAACGGGGTCTTATGTTTTGCCCTGTGTGCGTCCGTGCGTCCGTCCGTGCGTCCGTGCGTCCGTGATCACCTGTATCTCGAACATGCATGGACCGATTAAGTTCAAACTTCACTCATACATCACACATTATATGGGACATATGCACATGCATTTTTTTCATGATCTGG